GACATGAAGGAGGTGCGGCAAGCAGCGCGGAGCGGTGCAGGGGGACGCCCCACAGCTGCGGGTTAAGCCTGGGATTAAGGGGGAGCAGTGGTAGGGCTCAGAGCCCCTCCAGCCCCTGGGCTCGGCTCAGGACAACACAGAGGTGTCCTTGGCCAGGCGTTTCCCTAGGGACTTGCAGGGCGGTGGTCCCTCCAATGTGGGGATGCAAGGGAGCGGAAAATCAGGCCTAGAAATGCTGGAATTATGTCAGGAATTAAGGGCTAAATTTCCAATGACTCTTTCTGTACATTTGCTACTTTATTTCCAGTTAATTTTTTCAAAATAAACATTTGGATAGTTCTTCCTTTGAGACTCTTGCTTTGCCTTTGAGCCGCAGGGTGTTCCCGGAGCCAGAGCAGCCGCTGCTCCTGGCCTTGGGCTTTGCTCCGCCGTCCCTTTGAAGGCGGCTCAGGAGGGAGTTTGTCCGGCTCACCTCCCGCTGAAGGATCAGTTTGGCCCTGCTCACCTTACGCAACATTCTATTTTCCACTCAAACACAGAGAAAAAAATGGTTTTCCCACCATAAAAGAGCAGCTCATCGCCTTTGTCTAACCTCTTGGACCAAAGTCTAGTTTACACCAGCCCTGGCCTTGTCTCTGAGAAGGTGAGAGGGGAGCAAAGGCAGGAGCAGACTCAGCCCTTGGACTCCAGGCTGGGTTTGACCCAGGAGAAATTTGACGGCAGCATCCTGGGAGGCAGGAAGGGGAAGCTGTCGCTGCAGCCCCGTGGTGAAAAGCTGCCTGGGAACACGACCCCGTGCGTGCTTGGGGAACAACAGAATTCCTGCAGCTGAGGGGTCAGAGGATAGACGAGACGCAGTTGTCTCGTCCCATTTTAGTCCCGTTAATTTGAGAGCGAGAACACCCACGTGGTTTCCCTCGCTGTGCCTCCCAGCCCGGGAAGGATACCAGCCCCAGCCAGCCCACACAACAGCGAGCTCCTTCCTTTAAATCCTGCTCTGTCCTCCCCTTGTGCCGCTCCTCAGAGCTACGGCTGGTGGCTGACGGTCTTCCTGGCTCTGGGCAGTGTGTGGGTGCTATCGGCCGCCCCGGCGCTGAGCACGCGGGGCACCTCGCTGCCCGCGAGCGTCCCTGCCCGCAGGATCTCCTGCTTGTACCTGCAGCGGGGAGGCAGCATGGTGTGGTCACAACCCCGCTGATAGCGCACACAGACGCAATAAATGTAAGTGGACGCTTTGTCTTTGTTCGCTGCATGCTAAGGACATGAGCATCGGTTAATTCCAGCCTGGGCACTGAGCCATGCTGGGAGCTGAGCCCCCAGCAGATATAAATCACAGGTTTTTCCCAAGGAAGAGGTTTTTGTTGTCTCTGCCAGGTGATGGTACCTGCGAGTACTGACCCCAGTTTGCAGCCGAGCTGCTGGGGAGTTATGCCAGACACAGCTGGACCATCAGCCTGTGCCCTGCACGTTCTCACCCTTCCTTCCCTGAGCTGTTCCCCTGCTTCAGGGCGTGATGGGCCAGGGAGAGGACCAGAGGCTGCTGGAAGGCTTCAGATTTTAGGCAACCCCTCTCTTAGCATCCTCAAAGGATGGGTGAGGACCCAGTGAAGGAGACGTGCGGCTGGGCAGGCCAGATGCTGCCCCGCGGAAC